GGGGACGGGAGGAAGGAGGAGGGGGCGTGTGGGAGCGCGGAGCGGCCTGGGTGGCAGGGGTGGGGGGAGAGGCAGACTTGGGGGGGTGCGGAGGGATCGGGGAAACAGGGATAGCCGGTGGGAGCAGGTGCAGCCGAAGAGGAACTCTCCGGAGGCTGGGGGCACGGGGTGGGCACCGTGGACGGTGGGGCCTTAGCCGGAAGCGCTGCGGTGCATCCACCTGGCTTGCCTTGAAAGCCGCCTTCTCGGCCGCCGTGGAAGTGAAAGGGCAGGGGGGGGGAAGGCGGCGGCTCAAAACCGGCCGCTTTGTCTGAGCCTTTAGTCCGGGTGCTGCTGGGTGGGAGAGGAATCTCCTGTGGAAGCTTTGGAGGAGGGGGAGGAAGTGGTGCGAGGGTTGCCGGCAGGTCGCTTGGCGCCGCAGGTTGTGACACAGGGTCATGCTTCTGCGTGACGAAGTGGTTTTTGAGGCCGTAGCCTGTGCTGAACTGGATCTGTCGGTTATGCTTCCGGCAGTGTAGGCAGCACAGCCACATGGAGCCTGAAACCTCCATTTGTCCCAAACCGCGAGGGATGAGCTCCAGCACATCCTGCTCCGTCAGATCTTGGTTATAATGATGGGTCTCGCAGACTGTGGCCATGAGCGCCGCAAAGGAGTTGTGCTGGATGCTGTCTGCCACATAGGTTTCAATATCCTCCTGAGTAGGAGGAGGAGGAGCTGATGTGGCGGTTGCCGTGGTCTGTGACCTAAGTGGCTGAGGTGAGCTGTGCTCTTCAGGTCGATCGGACTGGATTTCCAGGGAGATGTCGGGAAGCTGGCTCTGCAGCATGCGATCGGTTCGTTCCTTGGTGGTGGGGTCTCCCTGAAAACCCTTCATCCACTTCCAGCACCTGGTGTAGGCGCCTGTCGTGTTGTTGGCTGTCACAAAGTAGTGGCCATCGTTGTCATACTTTTTGTTCTTCACGCGCTTGTCCCAGCGCTCCGAGAACAGGTAGATGGGGCCAAACTTGGCGGATACATTCCAGCCCGCTTGAGGGGAATGACCAAGGTCTCGACTCAAGATCTGCCAGAGAAATTTGCAGAAGATCATGTATTCCAGGTTCGCCTTCGCTGTCATAACCTGACGGCTGAAGGCGTGCTGTATGGCCTCCCTCATCAAAGGGTGCCTGGGCTTGCCATAGATGATGCCTTGAAAGATGTGATCTCCTTTGACTCTGATGGCCATGACCATGAATTCCTTTGGGAGTTGGCCAGGTGGGGAGGGTCTGTGACCCACTTCACCTGCCCTCGTTGAGTGAGCTGTGCTCCAATCTGCTGCCATGAGCTGCAGTACCTGTTCCCAGGGTACCACAAAGCCACATTTAATATCCACATAGAGGCCTCCGTGCTGGTAGTGGTAAACGTAGCGGAACACGTCGGCTCTATGAGCAGGTTGACTGCAGTCCAGCAGATTGGAGCCGTACTTTCCGGCAAGTTGCCGCAGGGTAGCCCGAAGAATACCATCGTCACAGAATTTGCGGGTGAAGCCTGCGAACATTTTGACCGCAACTTGGGCGGGCTCCGGCTTGTCGTCGTGGACATAGGTCTGGAAGAGGAGTGCCGGGACGGGGGCGGCCTCCCATTCTGGGAGATGCATGAAGCGCATACCCCAGGGGCCATGTCCGTACTGCATGGCTACCTCCGAAAGATCTCGGACAGTGCGGCATTGTGACAGAGCCTGGGCTGCCAGCATTTCGACATGCATGTCCTGCTGGCGAGCATTCCAGCCAGCAACCACGAGGACAGGCAGTCCTGGGGTGTTGCGCATTTCCTCGATGGCTCTTGTGACAAGTGCCGGGATGACGATGTCCGCAACATCAGGGCGGAAGTGGAGATTTTTGGAGTTGTAGAGCCATTCTACCCCTCCTACTCCAGGTATCTGTGCAAAATCCATGATTTCCTGATTTGGCAAGTTTTTGTCCGCAAAACCATATTGGACCCTGCCGTCTATCAGGTAATCATAGTTGACTTGCTTCTCCGGGCGCAAGCTTCTTGACAGCGGAATAAAGCGAACATTGATTTGTCCGTCAAGGTGACTCTCCAAAATGGAGGCCACCGGCTGGCTCTGGACCGCCGCCTTGAATTTGTGCGGCCCAAAGAGGCCAAATTGCCAGTGGAGGAGCTCCATGATGGAGGGGACGCTGCTGGCAGAAATATTGAGGGCGGCGCCTGGGCAGCTTAAGACCTGTCCCGTCAGCAATGGGAACACTCCGTACGTATGTCCCCGCAGCATGTGCTGCAAGGTGCTATCACTGAGCACCAGAAAAGGTCCCAAGCTGGGAGGGGTGTCCATGGTCTCAGCTTTAGCTGACGGGCCAGAGTCTGTGACACGCGGCCAAAAAGGTGAGCTGTGCTCTTCGCTGAGTCTCAGTTTGTTCTGCAGTCTTATCTTCTGCAAGGCATGTCTAAAGAGCAAAGCTGCTATGCTTCTGCTTGTTGCCTACTGTATCGGCAGTTTGAACT